CAATATAAATGTATTTCAGCATAACGCATTAGTCATACATTTTTCAAATTTATCTTTACCGTACCTACCAACATTTCTTACATAACTTGCAATACAAAATTGTGTATTCCTTAGACATTTAACATTTCACAGATCATACAATATAAACCAGTCATGAGAAGAGTTCTGTACTTCTTGTGAGTACAGTAAGCAAGCTTTCTGTCAATTTTGAAAATAACGCTCTTTACTTGCCCAGCTCTTCTTGGCCTTTCTTTCATCTGGACTAAATTGAGCCTACAATATTAAAATCACAGCCCTTCTAGTGAAAGGTGAAACACCTTTAATTAAAATGATAGATACCTAAAGTATTATAGGTACAAAATGTGAGCAAACAAATTTTTAGTGTTCTGCCAAAATTTTGTAGACATGAGGTACACTTACATTTAAATGTATACCCACATAAATATTCACAGGAAAAAAGACAAGTCAAGCAGGAAACCCTTTTTTTGTTTCTTTTTTTTAAGGGAAGGGGGTGGGGGTGCACGGGAGTTGGACTAAAACAATGATAGGCACTTCATGTCTCCTTTTCTCTTGGATATACGTATGTATATATGTCAAATGTAAAACTTAACTCATACCTTAAGTGGAAAAAAGCAAAAGATATACCAATTTGTGTTAAGATTTAAAGATATAGAAAAGCTTGCTTTCCATAAATACAATGATGTTGGAAAAAAGTTGCAGAAGAAAGTCTCCTAGAGTTCCCCTAATTTCGATACAGTTGGAGGGATGATTCACTAAACGTCCATGAGACTCACATTCACACTTCTGCCCCAATACCATCATTTAGATAGGAAGTAGAAGTCTTGCGAATACTGAAGAATATAAGCTTTAGAAACAGAAATTGAGCAGCACTAGATCCAAACACCACAGCTGACCAAGCTGACTAAGTGAAGTTTACTTTACAGTACGCAGGACTTGGAAATCACACTCCATCAGAAATTCCTGCAAGTTCTTGCATGGTCATTGTAAATGGAGTCACGTTATTTTGATCAACCAAATAAGAATGCACCAGGTGTAAGACCATGAAATTAATACTTCACTGATTAAACAAAGTGTCATTTGCAAGAGGACCTCACACTGCTTGTTTATCTATCCTGTACAAAGATTCTTTGCAAATACTGCTTTGAGACTTAGCACACTTATACACATTTTAATACAACATGCATCTCATACATTCAGCTATACCAAGGAAAAATTTAAAAATCAGGAAACTAGAGATTTATTAAACACATTCTACTTACGGTAAGAAAAAGGAAGAAATATGACAAATAAAATACAGTTCAGCAATTTTGATAAGTTTTGCAATGAAATTAATGAGAACCAACTATTTAGAATGCAATTATTTTGTATATGCAAGAACACATGTGTAGGTACTGGCACTCACATATTCGTGAGTTACAAAAGGACTGGCACCCAGCAACAACAAAGTAGGGACACTCAAATTAAGTGAAACAGTCGTTCTTTCATACATTCCATTCAGTCTATTCAAAATGAAGCACACAAAAATATATGAATATGATGAATTTCTGCCAAATCATATTACTGTGATTGACAGAACTAATACTGGACTAGAAGAAAATCTTCAAAATCACACAATGTTCACAACTAATCAAGTTATGCAGAAGCTTTCTGACCCCATAAGTACATTTTTAGTGTTGGCTTAAATTATCCAATTCAAATTCAAAATTTATTTGGTGGCTGTAACACTTCTAATGTTAGTATTGAAAACAGTGTGTGTTCTAGCTTAACACTTAAATGAAAGAGCGAAAAAGCACCATTTTTCATAGTAGGCCAAAATTAACTAAAGTACAGACACCACCAAAACACAACTTTAAAAAGTCTAGATTCTTTAACCCTTTAAAAGCATGCTTACATTGTTGTGTTTTCCTCTTTGAAACTATTAAAAAGCAGTGGGTGAGAAGTGGGGAAACAATGGGCAAATTACCTAAAAGCCATAACATTTTTTTAGAGTCTTCAATCTTATAAGAAGAACTAAATTACAATTAATTCATATTGAGAAGGTATAAAAGATCTAAAAAGAAATATCTCACAGAGCCTCTCCCATGTAGCACTGAATGTACCGGTAATATCAAAGTCCTCCACAAATGCTACATCATGATAAATTCAAAAACTTATCAGTCAGGATGGATCAGACTTTACTTGCTTCCCTGAAAAGCAAAACAAACTCACCATAGAAATAAACAGAGCTTCTTGCTGCTGTTATCTACCCGCCAAAAAATAAGGTCTCTTAAAGCACAGGAGAAAGATTCAGTGACAAGGAAACCTTTCAAAATATATATTCTTAATGTATAATATAAATCACAGAAGGAAGCTGAAGAGGTCTTGAGTGCTGCCCTGATGAAACTTGTGTTTCAACACAAACCTCTAGTATTATCTAGACAGAAAACGGAGGCACTGTTCCATTTTAAAATATCAAGTGATATTCAAACCACAGTCAAATGCAGTAAAACCTCGGAAGTATTGAGTTGTGGTCACCAACTTCCTAATGTCCATAAGTGTCAAGATCTCTGACGTATAAAGTTGTAATCACTAACTTCCTGATGTTGATAGATTGCATCAAAAAACAAAAGGAAAAGCTGGAAACAACTCTTCATGAGGTGACAGCCAGAAGTACTCTCAGATGACATGTGGCAGTTCACAGGTTTTGTCAACAGTCTCCAGTAGCACCTCTGGTCAGTGATGCATTATTTGATACAGTTGATTGTGCCTCCACTAAAAACAAAAACAACACAAATTTTAAGGTCAAACTTAGATCTACTACCAAGCTACATTGACACATGACAGTTAATTTCAGTCATTAAACTCACCCTGATGTCTTCTACAAGCTTCTTGTCTCTCAGACGAATCAAAATACCATAACGTTATAGCATACCTAGATAAAAGGAATCCAATGAGTGATACATGATACACGCCCGGATAAAATAGTTTTTCTTGCAGTTAGTTATACACATTTACCTTGTCTTAAATGCAGGTTGCACTTCATGAGGATTCCGTCTGTCCGACCAGAAAAATAAAATACGATCAAAGAATGGTTCTATGTCAGCCACTTTGTCTTGCCAGCCTTCAGGGAAAATTCGTAACAAACCTCCATTCTGCTGCAATGTGAAATAGATTAATAAGAACAGGCATGTCCAAGATCCAAAATATGACAAAGTAATTAAAATTACGGATTTTTACCTGAATATTCCAATCTCTATTTAAATAATAAATGGCTGTAATACATCGTCCATCTCTGTTGGGATTATCCACGTGTTTTACATAATGTGTTCCGTGGCCAGGGTAACAAGCTACCATAGCCTAGAGCAACAAAAACAATTGTTCACATCAAGAATTTTGCTACATTCTGGCCACATAGCAGAAATGATTAGTTAAAACAGAAATCAACATTACCTTGGTCCTTCCATTGATGTTGTACCTTCCTATTTTCCCATTATTAGCCATTTTATTGGCACGTAGAATGATAGAATCCACTTGGCTAATCAACATGCCAATATTCTTACAGGAATCGTCTTTGCCATCAATCCATGTTATCTGGTCGCCTCGGATGGTCTTCAAATCATTTTTCACCTTGTTACTGACTAGTTGACCATCCTTAAAAACACCTTTTGTATACATTCCAGTTACTTCGTCAAGAACTGACATTCCTCTCTTGTATCCAAGGAAATTGTCGACTACACAAACTCCAAATTGGTCCATGTCCCTTATGACAATTCGGCACATGTCGTCAATGACTGCTTGATCTCCACTAGTCTCTTCAATGACACCTTCTTCATCTCTATTACTTCGATGCAAAAATGGTGGAAATGTCCTATCACCAGTTAAACTTATGTCTGAAAAATCTTTCAGCCCAAAGCCATTGGAGGCTGAATGGAAAGATGGTTTCTGTAAAGACATGTCTCGATTTGCATCACTATACTCTAGAGCTGGACTAAGAGTCTCGGTACGGGCGTTTAGGATTTCACTCTCTGAGCTGCCCTCATAGGTTATGGTGCTGGCACCCTGTGCTCCCCATTCCAATGCCCATTTGTCAGCTGATTTTTCTGCTCCGTCAGTTTCACCTGCCAGTTTCACCCTGTTTTTACGAGGAGCTACACCACCGATTACAACATCTTGCGGCGTACAGCGGGCGGCTCGGTCAGATGAACTGATGTCCTTGTCAAGTCTGTCATCGGCGACGGGTTCCTTACAAACCGATTTATGTTTTTTCCAATGCTTTAACTGATGATCTTTGGAGCAGTACACCACACTTCTACATCTACCACAACGCAAGAGATTATTGACTGACCCGCAAAATTCACAACATGCAGAAGAATTCATGTTTTTATCGAATTTCAGACTGCTGAGTGAACATCTTGGGCCTTGAGCCTGCGATTTGCTGCTGTCTGTCTGTCTGTACTATAGACTAAAACTACTGAAGTCACGACAAAAACACAACAGCATGACGTGTGACACTGTGCATAGGGTTTCAAAACCTCTTTGCAAAGTAAAAGAAGCAACGAATAAGATATTTTCCTCAGCTATTGGAGCAGTGGCAGGCCTCCTTCAAGGATTACGTGATCTTTTAACTTTATCCTCTTCTGACCTTTGACTATCGTAGTAGCAACTACCCACTGCCTTCCTGAAATCTATTCTGACCCTGCCTTGCCCTGCCTCGCTGCCCGCGCCCACCATTTAAATGCCTGCGTAAATGTGTCGTTTTTGCTTTTACTTCACTGCAATGAATCCGGATTCATTGATCCATGGACGCCATCTGAACGGCTATAATTAACATAGTTGACAGCGATTAAAAGAGTTGATAAAACAACCGCGAGTATCGCAAATTTTTACTTTCTGTGCAGGGAAGCACTTAATTATTGTATCCTTAGGCCTCTTTCCATTTTCTCCGCTTTCATTTCCTATACCTCTCTTGGAACGTAAGTATTTCATTATTTCCTTATGGATCTTAATTAAGATCCCCTTATCACAAAACTTGAACAAGAATGGGAAGCAGCACGAGAGCGAATAAAGACCACCCATAAAGAGAAATCCGACACCCTGGCATAATAAATATTTTACCTGCTTGTAAACACCACATGTAGGGTGAGCACATGAAAAGGGAGAAACGCCTCCCTTCACGGCCAACATTTTTGATGTTGCGCCTTCTCAGAGACGCAATGAAACTGGCTTTACAGAATAATTCTGTATTTAAAGAGTAGATATGGTCTCCAAAGATGTATTCTTTGGTGAGGCTCCAATGTTGTTTTGACTGCGACAGCAGATTCACCAAGTCCACATAAACCAGCGTGCGTCAGACGATGGGTACTCCAACGATGCAGGGAGTCGATATCGCGTTCCTGTAGCTAGGTGGTGGATGAGCACCCCCTGCGGCACGTTTTGTCAGAACACCGACACACAAGGTACGCGACGGGGCGCGGAGCGCGATCCTGCCCCAACGGCGCGCGGAGCGACAATGACGGTGAAGTGGACGAACGCGGCTCTGGTGCTCCCCGTCGGCCGGCGCTGAGCTGAAGAAAGAGCCCCCGCGGAGGCCGCGGAGCGGGAGCGGGCGGTGGTGGGGAGGATGGAGGAAGTAGCGCGGCAGAGCCCGCACAGTCCGTCCAGAGTACTCCCTGCCTCCGGCCCCGTGTCCACTCCCCCACACCGACGTCCGCACCCTGCACGCACGCGACTGTAGAGCAGCGCAGGCAGCTGCCGCTGCCGCAGCGGCGGCATCGTGTGGCGCATGCCCGATCCGCCCGCCCAGCCGATAGCGGCACGTAAACTTTTGTGCATACGTGACCGTTGGCACAGCGGCCCGCGGGAGCGTCGAGGGCGACGCCTTGAGGGACGGGGAGAGGGGGGAGGATGAGGATGAACTGGAGGGTCGGTGACGATCGGGAGGGGGAAGGGACTGGCCCAACTGTCCAAGGGCAGGGCTGATGGACAAAAGCCACAACCATGATCCTTCAGTTCCAGTTCTCGATGGTTGCCGAATATTTTTCTCGTGGCCACTCGAAAGAAGTGAAAGAACCTACCAACTAAGTAAGCAGCTGTGCGCCCGTAACTACCAGCGAGGCCACAAAGATGGTCAAAGGAGGGGAGAGGACACTGAAGCACTGCTGGCGACGATTCGGGAGATATCGAATCAACTTCCTTGTTCAGCACTCGATGCAGCCCTGAAGTGGAAAACGATTGAAAATTTTATTTCGCTTTGAGCGGTTTTGTTCGATGTTTCAAAACCAAAGCAACAATGGGGATGGGGCAAGGTCCCCATCATCATGGCATCGTGACTGGCACAATATGAAAATTCCTCGGTAAAATGACAATTTAGTTCATCAACAAGCATGTTTCGGAGTCAGGGGGTAAAATTCAAGTGACTCAGGCCCCAAAATAAAAACCAAGATAGCTACCACACACCGCGCAGCAAAGAGGCGCCATGGATTGGATCCAAGAAGAATTTGAGGTGAGCGCCGGCCGTCGTCGGCCTGGCTCACGTCAGCTGCACCTTTATCCCTTCGGCTAGGCGGCCGTATCAGCGCGCAATGCTGCACGCGCCTTTCTTGTACCGATTGCACGCCGCAGGCCCTGCCCATACCCACGCTGCCAGGCTCCTCCCTGTCGGTGTACTACGACTGCCTTATCGACCCGGCGGAGGACGGCGAGGACGCCGGCGAGGTGAGGAGACCGCAGGGCCTCGCGCCTCACGTAGGCATGTAATGACAACTTTGGTCCCGTACACGGGCACCAAACCCGACACAATTCACCGGTAAAAAGTGAATTCTTAACGCCAACGACACCGAAAATGCAGTCGCGTTTGCCCCCCGCCATTGCCACGTGCAGGCGTGCCCTCGCCTCCCACACGTGCCGTCGCGTTGACCCTCGCCGGCCGC